GAAATGCCCAGTTTGTAGCATTTATAATTTGATTAGAGTGCCGTAATCCGTAATGAGCTGACACTACTCGGTGTTTTCTTAGGAATACTCTGCATACCAGATGTACTTGAAAATGAGGGTTGCATGGTCGCTACGGCCTAAAGGACTCTCTATCGATACCGTTTCGATCATAAGGTCTTGGTTGGTGAATACGAGATCCAGGACAGCCGGTTTGTTTCCCGTCCTGAATCTTGTGGGAGATGGGATGTGATTGTAGAGTGGTAGTCCACTAATTATCTCCTGTACTTCCATTTTGAAGTGTTCGTTGATACAGGCTGGGGTTTCTATGGTACGAATATTGAAGTCACCAACCAGGAGAATGTGGCTGTACGACTGCGAGAGAATGGTCTTCATTGTGGGGGCTAGGCGGTTGTCCATTTCCAAATTAACCGACGGAGGGCGATACACCACACCCAACAAACATGCGCCCCACGGCTTAGGTGAAGACGACACCAAAGCGCATCGACAATCTGAACCTCTGGGTCATCGATGAGATCAATGTGTAATTCGCTGCGATAATAAAGTAGTACTCCACCTCCTCTACTTGGTCTATCGTTGCGTAGAATAGACATCCCAGCTAGTGCGATTTCCGCATCACTTATCGCTTCATTCAACCAGGTCTCGGTTATCATAACGAGGTCCCCAGACATGGAGGTCTGACGCAGGCGAAGCTCCGTCAGTTTGCTTAAAAGACCTTGTGGGGTTGGTGTAAAAACAGGAGAGTGATTCATAGGTTAGAAGGTTGTTTGTGAATGTAGACAACAGGTTTGCGACCTGATCGACCTTCGTGCGGTCGGCTGCTACTAGTTTTTTTAATTGTCATAGGCTCACGAGAGTGAATTGGAAATACTCTCCGCACCATGTGATCAGGTTCATGATGATCCTGATGGTCACTTACCTCCTGCAGTGTTTTGCCGGATGCTGTGACGGCAGCCATATCAGTCTCTGTGGTGGACTCTGAAACAATGGTTGTTCCCACTGAGTTGGTTCTCTCCATGGAATAACCAGTAGCCTCCAGACGTGAAGCAGAGTAAGTTTTGCCTGCATTTTCTTACAGTGTCCAAGTTCCGACTGGAATACCCATGCATTATTCATTTGAAGTTGTTCAGAGATACTTTGACCCGGAGGAATCGGTATGGCTGTATGGCGCACCGTGACATTCCTTTCAGCACAGACATGATTCAGTGGTACAATAAACAAGTTCGGCTTTTCAATCCAGTCGATTCCGAGAAGACTGACGTCGGTGCATGAGACTAGGTAGATTGTGCCGCGGAGTTGCAGTTCCTTGAAGTTGAACTCACATTCAATCTCTCCATCCAATGTCAGCGGTTCCCCGGATGCATTCTGAGCCGTCAGAGTTGTGCGCTTGAATGCGGGTGTTCCAAGCTTCCTCTAAGTGGATCGCGAAATGATTGTGATGTCGGATGCCGTACCTAGTTGCAAGGTGACTGGAATACCATTGACTTTACTGTTAAATACTTTCTCTTGCCTGCGAATTCCGTGCGAAATGCAGCGAGAACTACCTTTGTGGCCGGTCCATGAAATTTCGCTCTTCTGAAGTTGATGTTTGTGCGCATCCTCGAGGGAAATGAAAGTCTGAAGTTGCGCGCAACTCGACAGTGGGTTTCCTTTTGACCAAACCGCTTGCACTTGTAACATTGATGCCCTTTGTAGATACAGTCTCTCACAAAATGCCAAGCGCCACAATTCCAGCATGCGGTCGGAGGCTTCTGAGTTGACCGATTCCGGTTCATCACTTTACCACGGATAGCTGTGTGACAAATCTGGGGTTCTGTCCTGTGGTCAGCAGTTTCAATCATTTTTGTGTCGTGCTTCAAGTTAATCAGTCGCTGGCATTCAGCTGTAATCTCATGCAGCGGCAACTGTGGTTCTTGTTCGAGAATACGTGGAGAATACGTGTTCGAATATCGGCATCTGCGCGGGACTGGAGAGTGCACACGAAAATAAGACTCTTGAATTGATCAGGTGTCATCAGACGCAGTTTGAGTCGTTCACATTCGCGATTTACGATCCCGGCATGTGCGACAAAATCAACGGCATCGCGTTTGATTAACTTCAAACAATTGTAGCGAACACTGAACAGAGAGGCCTGCTCACCGAATATCTGCATCAACGTTTTCACCGTCTCATCGAAGTTGAAGTCTCTTGCATTCTTCGGTAACACGAAATTTGTGTGACGTTCATGTTCGACTGCGCCAAGTTTCCTCAATAACAAACGAACTTTCCAGGCATCGTCTTGGTCTGCAAATTCCACTCGAAAAATATCTTCATACTTTAAGAACCAGGATTCAAATGTCAATCCGTTCAATCCATCGAAAACAAATTCTGTAATTGAAGTGGCAAGGGCGTCCACCGATGGGCTTGCGGTTGTCGTCGGGGATTCGCTTTGGATGTTCAGCTTCAGAGATAGCAACTCGATCAACTGTCGTTGAGATTTTTCAAACTGGAGTTGTTGCTGTTGAAGGAGCGTCTGCATCTGCTCGAACGAAATCGACATGATTACCGGAACCTCCGTCGCCAGAAAATCTGTTGTGTCGCCGCTGATGCCTTCACCCCACGACCGCAAGAAGAAGTCCAAAGACGAACCAGAAGGAGACTTGTATACCTGAAATCATAGTTGCTTATATAGTTTGAAGGCAAAATGAAGGGAAGCTACTAAAGTACACTTGAGCCAACCGACTGATGGAAAAACGTAAAATGCAACGGCGAATAAGCAACCGTGTATGTAAGAGCGAATCGCGTAGGTCCCTAAAAATAGCATCATTGGACTCCAAAGGTAAAGTGAACGACCATTTACAGTGACGGGCACTGGCCAATCAGAATGATGAAATGAAACGTTTAAACAAAAGTCACGAAACACACGCGAATAAGGAATGCAGACCCAAAATTTGAAAACTAGTACAATAATTGTGTGACACTAAATATTCCTTTAACATAACTAAGTAGAACAGTGGTAAGAAGAAAAAACCAATAGAATATGCTCTTTCAAACAGCGCTGCTGAGAAGGGCATGACGATGAGCGTCCATTAACAATGACGCGGATGTACCAATCGGGCAAACCCAGTAGAGCGTTTAAACAACCGTCAAGGATAGAAAATAGGAAGAGTAAAGAATAGCTATCAAGCTCGGTCATAATAACCGAATGTCTAATAGCTGTTCTCCTAATACCGATAATCCAGAAGGCAACATTTTAAATTGCTATTGCTTCTCATCGGCGATAAATGATCTTCTCGTTTGATCTCCAGCTGCCAGTATCTAGATCCAGAACAGTAAATATCCTCGACTGTTTCAGTTTCTCAAAATTGTCAGCAATTGATGGCATTAGAACGAAACAGCTGAGGGAAATTTCGTTCGAACTTCGGAAGTCCCCACAGAAACGATACTTCCCAATAGTCTTCTTCACTAAGACCACTGAGAATTGTATGGGCTGTGCGCCTCTTTAATCACATCTGCGTCCAACATTTCCTTTGCTTGAAACAAGAAGTTCACCTTATAAAGTTAAACAGAAATATCAGAAGACTTAAGCTGTGAGCTAACCCAATCGTTACGTGCCTTCTCGTCAGTCACGTACAAGGCAACTAACAGTTTGAAAACCAGCGACTTTGGATGTGGCCGATTGGTGGTCAGCTGATGGCCTACTATTACTGCGGCACTACAACGGCAGGCTCAATTTTACTGCCAACTGCTTCTGTACGCACTGAGGCGGCCGCTAGTGATAGATTACAATGACTTCAAGTAGGTTGAGGATATGCGGCCTTTGGTTACGCATGAGGACAGTGAATAAGTCATTTTAGGTTGACCTGATGGTCAGTGTTCAGTAGACGCCTCGTGATTGCCGGAGCTATCCTGCCTCTGGAATCACCCGGTTCCAACGTCTGAGATTCAATTTGCCTGCACAAGAATTTAGGGATGTGCTCACTAATCCTGCTCATTTCCTGTACTTGCCTCTTCACCTCAGCCTCCAGATGGATTGGTATCCTTCGAGATCCCTGGGGTCCATACGTCTGGCGGCTTAGCGGGATGGTGCGACCGGTAGGTTTGAAGTTTGGTTGTCATCTTGCGGGAACCCAGCGTAAACAATGAGTGCGTTCGATACCTTGTTTATAGCCCAGGAAGAGCATGTGAACCGCTCTACACCATTGTTCCACGCTCCGGTAGCTGGGCCATATGTTCCGCAGGGCAGTACATCGATTCCGGGGATGTGCGATGTATGCGCTACCGGGGAGTGGGTGGAATAAGAGGAACGGAGGCCAATCGATGACTCGGTCAAAAGTAAAAACAAGATCATGGAAAATGGGTGCTGCCCACCCTAAAACACTGCGCTCCACTACGCGTTCCGACCTTGCTTGATCTCATCAGATAGAGATGGCATTAGTTGGGACCTCTATCCCTTTAGTCACAGGGTCACGACGGGCAACACTTGACACAACGGTTAGTGACTCATTAGTGGGTCATTTTGAAGTACTCGTTGCGTGCTTGGATTGCGACACAAAAGCCTAATAATGGTGGGCGTGAATCCAGTTTTCGATTCGACAACCCGTTCAGTACCGTTTGACGTCATGCCACAATTGGGAATTTCGGTGCTTCTATTCATTTAAACTCCCATTACTGAAATAAGGAGATGTAAACGATAGCCCTGCGCTAGATCACATATCTCTAAGCACACTAATGTTCTGAGCTTTGTGTTTTGATCGTGTAGTAGGGTTATGTAGTATTAGGATCGGTTAGTTTAACTGAATAATCAGGATGCTCTGTTGAGATCGTCAGTCATGCCACCAGTGTGCTGTCAAAGGACCGTTGCGCTGGACAGTGTCTACGACTAAAATCTGCTCTGGACCCTAGGGTTCAAGAGAAATCAAGTACTAATACAGCTCCAGGATACGAAGTACTGTTAGCTGCCGTTGTGTTTTGTAATGCTCTTCTCCTTTTGATACTTTTAGCAAAATGCGCTCAACTTGGTGAAGCATGTACGAGGACGCCGATCAAGAAATGCTGCGATAACACGGTATGCAAATTGTACTATCCGCTTGTGGGGTTGTGTGTACCGTGTTACACAAAGGGAGCAATGTGTCTAAACAACGAAGAATGTTGTTATGGTGCTTGCTTTTTCAATCGATGTTTATAAATGATGTAAAGACGAGAGTTATCACGTGAGACGCGATGTTTTTCTTTCACTGCATCCGTCGTATTTTTATTAACAGTAAAGAACATGCGACACACTGTTATCACACACCCTTGGCTATGAGTTTTAACATCTATCCCAATCATATACATATAACGTCATCATGACTACACATTAGCCGCGGGTGAGAAAAACCACAGCTAATATGCTGTAAAGTAAAAGAGATAGCCTGATAAACATTACAGACTACAAAGGTTGAAAGAGCAAGTAATATAATATTAAATACCATATTACTTTGAGTAGAAGGATTGTGGCGAATATTTTTGTTTGTCGCAGTCAGCCGACAATTCAGATAAGTCAACTACCTATCCGGAAAAGCACCAGACGGGCGTTTCGCCCTATTGGGGCTCGTCAGTAGTGCGCATCCTTCGGTCCTCTACGGAGGATCGAACCCATGACTGCTAGTGGCGTTGGGTGTGAGACCGAAATTAGAGGAAGGATGTAAATGGTTAGGACGCGGACAAAGAAACACACAACACACACGTCATTGAGGTCGGCTTTTCGCCGTAACAGCAAACGTATCCAACCAAACGTGGACCCCAACCCGACAGTAGGGATGCATTAACCGACGCCAACTTCGAAGTGAGGGCTTTAATTCATTTCGAGCAAGTCATCGCTTGGCTTCCCTTTCGCTTCTTCCTTCCAGACCCGGTCGCGCTAACAACGCAAGTGGCAAGAGTCGGTGTGCTGGAATACGCAACACGCGGCCCAGCTTTTGATTTGTACAGCATATCGGACGTACATACCCTTGACCTCTCTAAGGACACAGGCGCCTTGACGTAGTCCGCATTCACACTGATACGCAATAACGGATTTGGATGACGCAATATATATATATATATATATATATATATATATATATATATAAATCGGTTCTATAATACGTTGCGGCATCCAAATCCGTTGTTGTGTATAAGTGGGGATGCGAAACAAGTCAGGGCGCCCATGTCCTTAGAAAGGTCAAGGGGATGTACGTCGGATATGCGGTACAGATCGAAAGGAATAATATAAGTAGGCCAGTTGACGAGAGTCAGGATTGATTAGAAACTATCCCACATGACTTTCACAAACATCACCTGTGTAACCTTGAAGTAAACCTGAGTGAACTCTTGTCGCAAGATGACAAAGTGATATATCGTTTCACCGAATCATACATTCACGTAAGCATAACCGATAGAAACAGTTAATTTTTTAAACAATGATTCCGAGCCTATCAGAGGAATCGATCAAATAAAACGTGGCCCTACTCGATTTGTGCCTTGAACCGTAAACCTGAGGATGTCCGACCTGAATGTGCTTGGACCGTTACCACCAACACAATTCGTGAAACTAAGCCCAATTACAGGTGGCTATCAGCAGCACATTTGTGGATTACATTTTAGCCGCTCGGAGTGTCGAAATGTGATGAATCTCGTTCCATGTTGCAGGTTTTATTCTTGTCTGCGAAATTACTCCAATGTATCGACTCCAAAAGCAGCAGCTTGCAACATAGCGAACATCGGTATCTCGCTGCATGTACAGACCCAGGTGGCGTCATGCGTCTAGATGCTGCGCTGTGTGAAGTGATCTACTAATGATACCGCGCTGCGATTTAATATAGTTCAATAGTGTATGGTGGGATAAAAAGCAATAACTTTACATGTAACACCGTGCCCACAGTTTATCATCTAATGGAACCTCGTCTCAGAGTTAGCAAAGTTTGCGATTAACAGACAGGAACGTCAAGCGAATGATAACTTAGGGTGAATGAAATATGCATAGCTGAAAACGAAAGAGTAATAAAATTTACGTCGGGTCGAGAAAGAAGAAGCTTATGTACTTAGCTACAAAGACCGATTCAAACGACATACGCTTGTGCAGAATGACAAAAGTAAACTAGTGTGTGAGTGGTTTGAAGATTTGCCCTCTGCTCTGTACTAACTCATTAAATACAGGAGGGCGGAGTCTGTGTAATTATGCTGACAAACTAATCTCAATTTGGCATCAGGGTGCGACTGAGGCGGCTAAGCATTGAGAATGAAAATATGACGGTATGAAAGGCGGATGTTCGGTGTCACCGCGCTGCATTCAGGGAACAATAAATAGCACGAGAAAATGTAACAAGATCACTTTCTTCAGAGCCGCACTGACATTTTCAAAACATCTGGAAATAATCAAGCAGAGTACAGACACGTGAAGCAACAATTATCGCATATCCAGTGACTGTTTGTGTGTTTCGATTCTCTTTCAGCCGTGGCGTATAAGTGCTCCCCAGTTGGTGCATTATGCCACTGGAACGTATTCAATCGATGCTGTCCTGGTTTGGTGTGCGAATTGGAATACGGACTCATGGGGCGATGCTACGAATGCCTGAAGACAGGCAACTTTTGTATTCGGCGTAAACAATGTTGTACTAACAAATGTTATTATTTCACCTGTGTGTGAATGCGGGCCCATACAAAACACATTACATATATATTTGGATCGGAGATGATGTTGCTAAATCGTTGCGCACACATTGTTGGAAGGGACTATTGGAGAACCAGTTTTACACACGCAACAGACAATGACGTCTGTTCAAGTGAAGGTGAGACTAAAACGATAGTAATATCACTTGAGTGTTCCGAATTGGGTGTATCGTTAAGCCAAGTGTTGATAAGGTCGTCTGAGGTTTTGAGAGATCTGAACCGAAACATCCGAGTCCCACCACAGTTAACCAATTATCGTTCACGTCACCTGCACCAGAAGCCCCTGCTTGCCAGTTACGGGAGGTAAATAATGGAGGGTAGGGAATAAGAAAAATCATTTAATAAATGGCATGAGGGAAAGTACAGAAAAGAAAGTCGAATTGTGAAGATGAAAGTCGGTAAGGAGAAGTATTTGGAATGACACCCAGGAGCGTCTAGTTGATGCTCAAACTCCTTAACCTTCAATGTCTTGACAACGCTTTCTGAAAGGAGTTCCAGTGCTCGATGACTCGACGCGATAGCCGAGTTTGCACTCTAATTACTTTGGACTGCGGTTTGTCAAACTTCTTAGAATGCCCGCGGAAACCAGATAACGTAGCAGGGCCGACTAGCTAGGACACATCCAGGCCAACGTTCCCAGTTAAGATACGATGGGTTAGAGTTAGCTTTCTTCTAATAAAACAATGAATGCAATTCTAAATTAAGTAGGAGCTCGGGGTCGTTTTCCCGCGTAACGCATCGACCAACCAACCGCTCATCCGTAAAACCATTTTGTCCCGCATGAGGTTGGGCGGACAAGCTTGGGCACGATATTTCAGGCGTGGTCGAATTAAGGAAAAAAAACAGTTTCCCAAACAAATTAGCCGTAATGACTAAGAAACAACGGTGTAATAAAAACAGCATGCAGAAGCATCCACTTGCGGTCTCCTTCCAGTTGTCGTCCGACTTCAAAGTCGAACAGTGTATGATTTGTGGAACACAAGAGTGTTCGACACTCCCGAGCAAGTACCTCGAGGAGTAGTAACCTGCTTCAATTAGAGAAACGGAACTATTTGACTGGTTTATGGGCAGTAGTCATGGAGTTGACCAGTCTCAATGCTTATCCAGGGCACGCTGAATAGCCGCAGCACCCACAGGAACACCTGCAATATTCCACAGCTAGGTAATCAGTAACTAGTAGCGATGGTACCTCAAGCTCCGCAGGTAGGTCGCTCACATAGATAGATAACAGAAGCGGTCCAAGGGCCGAGTCTTGCGGCCCACGCGTACATACTGTTCTCTTCCATCCAAGAATTCAGAAACCCAGTGAAGAGAGCTACAGGATTTACCATAAAAACGTGACTTTCGCGCAAGCCTCAAATTAGGGATCGCGTCAGACGGTTTAAACTAATTGATGAAAACCACGTCCAATGCTTGACCGTTGTCCGCTACATCAGCAGAACGTTCGCAAGCCGCCAATAGATTCCTCATCCCTTTCGGAATCCGCACCATGCACTGCTGAGTAGATGAAATCTAGTCAAGTGAATCTCCAATGAATCACACCAGTTTCTCCAGGAGTTTGACTACTACACTCGTCAGACTAACTGGACTATAATTAACAGGTGGACTTCTGTCGCACTGTTTGAAGATGGAACGGATGACAGCTTCGTTCCATTCGAAGCCTAATGTGTACCTGTCCAGCGATTTCTGTAAGGCCATGGCCAACGGTCCGCAGCCAACTCCTGTACCAGCTCCGGATGATTTAAATCAAGCCCAGATGCCTTAGAGTGGTCCAACCCTTGTAGTAACCTATGGACTTCCGTTTCTGCTAGATTAAACTCAGCTAGGCAGGAGCCCCCTAAGAATCGGTAAGCGAGGTTTCCTGCAAATATGCTCCTGCATAATGTCCACCAAGAATATACACCTTGTAATGATCCGTAAGTGCACGAGTACTGCAGTCTCACATCAAAGCCGGAATTGTCGAGTTCTAACCGCATTACCTTTTGACATAAGCAAAGTACGTTTTCGGATTCTCCGAGCCGGGCATTCCTCATGTGTTGCTTACACTTATTTCTAGCCTCACTATACCTACCATAGGTACTGGTTGATGAAATGTCACGGTAGGTCCGCCAATATCTGGACAGCCATGGTGAGCAGGTGCCTGTCAGTGGAATCTATCCATGCGGTCTGTGCTCTTGACTCCTCCTTGTGATCGAGATTAGTTATCATGAGTTACAAAGCAGATGCTTTACAATTCCCATATGACGGCTGGGGCAAATACTACAAAATGAAAAGGTATGTAGGCCATCTGTCTTAGCTTTTAGCGAGTTAAATGTGTTGCTAAATAACGCTAGTGTAAAATAAAAACTGAACGCAGACATGCTGAACAAATTAGGACGCGGTGATAGAGTTGACGTAAATTGTGAGCAAAATAAAAATAAGATTGATCACGCATGTATCGCCTCCTTGGGTATACGTAATACATAAATTTGATAGCATGGCCTGATTACTGTAAACCACAACAGCGTAGTTTATGTAACCAGGTGCTGAGCTAAGAGCAACATTTAACGGTTTTTGAAAAGATCTAAATCGAATGAGGACAATTGAAACTGGGAATAAGATC